AAAATTTCTCAAATATGAAATTAACCATAAAAGAGTTCAAGAACAATTAACAAATCCAATCTTAATTGAAAAGATTGAACAATTTAGGTTAAAATTGGAAGCAGAAGTATATTCTAACCTTCCTACAGCTTTTTGGCATAGGAAAAAACATATGGTAAAACTTCTATACATAAAAGGATTTAGTGAGACAGATATTCCTACTAAATCCAGACACATCCAAATAAACCACGAAGTAATGGAAATCTGCAAAAAAGAAATTGCCCAATTACTTCATAATGGTATCATTCGAAAATCCAAATCTCCTTGGTCATGTTCTGCTTTCTATGTCATCAAAAATACAGAATTAGAAAGAGACGTACCAAGACTAGTAATCAATTACAAACCGTTAAATGCTGTTTTGGAATGGATCAGGTACCCAATTCCAAATAAACAGGATTTAATCAAAAGACTTAGTAATTCAGTAATCTTTTCTAAATTTGATTTGAAAAGTGGTTACTGGCAAATCCTTATATCTCTAGAAAATAGATATAAGACTGCATTTACAACTCTTTTTGGTCATTATGAATGGAATGTAATGCCCTTTGGATTAAAAAATGTACCTAGTGAATTCCAAAATATCATGAATAAAATTTTTAATGGTATTAGTCATTTTTCTATTGTCTATATAGATGATATAATCATCTTCTCCAGGTCAATAGAAGAACATTGAAAACATCTCCATGCTTTCCTTGAGATAGTTAGGCACAATGGTCTAGTCATCTCAGCTAGTAAAATTAAGTTGTTCCAAACCTCAGTAAGGTTCCTTGGTTACAACATCCAGTACTCAACCATTATTCCCATCAGTCGTTCTATCCAATTTGCAGATAAGTTCCCTAATGAGATTCTAGATAAAACCCAGTTACAAAGGTTCTTAGGTTCCCTAAATTATGTTTCTAACTTTTATCAGGATCTTAGGAAAACCGTTAAACCTCTGTATGACAGACTCAAAGGAAATCCTCCTCCTTGGACCTCTGTTCATACATCCATTGTTCAACAATTCAAGCAGTTCATCAAAACTTTGCCTTTGCTTGGTATTCCTTCGGTTGATTCTTTTAAAATCATCCAAACTGATGCCTCCGACATTGGCTACGGTGGTATCCTCCTTCAAAAGCTCACTCTAAACTCCCCAGAGCAAATTGTTCAATTCCACTCTGGTATCTGGAATAATGCACAAAGGAACTATAGTACTATTAAAAAAGAGATTTTATCTATTGTCTTGTGTATCTCTAAATTCCAGGATGATATATTTAATCAAAAATTCTTAGTAAGAGTTGATTGCAAATCTGCAAAATATGTTTTGAAAAATGATGTACAAAACATTGCTAGTAAGCAGATTTTTGCTAGATGACAGTCTATTTTAAGTATTTTCGATTTTGACATCGAATATATTAAAGGCAGTAATAACTGCATACCTGATTTCCTAACCCGTGAATTTTTGCAGGAACATCATGGCGGACAGGAAAATTAGTAAGGCTAGTACCTCTTCCAAAGCCGGGAGAGATACTGCAAAATTCAAAACCCAATTAACCTTGCCAAGCCTAGTAGTCTTGTCAAGCCCAATCCAAATTGTCAATCGTTACCAACTTCTTGGTAAACCTAACCCAGTAAGACCAGTGGCCCAGTCTACCTTAGTAGCCCCATCCACTTTTCTTCAAATGGCCCAAAAAGAACCAATTAATTTTTCAAGCCCACAATTAGTTGCCCCAAGTCAACTAGTTGTTCCATACCCAACTTCTAAACCTAAGTCAGCTTTCGTAGCCCACACAGGTCTAAAAGCTGAATACACTAAGAAAGGTGAACCCATTACAGTGTTTGTCATTGAACTCATTCATGCTCACCTAAGCAACCCAAAGAATATAGTAAATATTTATCTGGAACCAGGATGAAACTTTATCCCATCTGACCCAGAGAAAACATTTAGTTTTTATCAGGATATATTATTTTTTACCCAGTCTATTCATATCAAACCCATATTTGATAGGAATGATCCAAGTAAAGTAATATATCATTCATTATATATTCTAAAATTCATCTCTCTCAAAGAATGAGGATCTTATCCTTTTTTGCTCAAAGATCTTGAAAGACATGAAAAGAAGTTTAATTATTATGATTACATAGAATCATGGAATAAACTTCTCCTCTATCAAGATGAGTCATTAACTCATTCCTGGTTCATTCAATTCGATAAGAATTTCAAAAGCCAGATTCCTGGCTGGTTTGCACAGTGGTGGCTTCTTCATGGCCCTATAACTGAAATTCTCCCCCTGGACCTACAAGATCAAGTCACATACTTTGCCTCTATTTATAAACCTAGTTATTATGACGGAACTCATTTTTCGAGTCTGTTAATTTTCTTCAGTAAATATAAAATTCCCTGGATTTACAAATGGTCTTGGGAAATTTGTTCTAACTTTGTTTGTAGGCAATCCAATGTAAAATGGTGGCCAANGAACCCATTACAGTGTTTGTCATTGAACTCATTCATGCTCACCTAAGCAACCCAAAGAATATAGTAAATATTTATCTGGAACCAGGATGAAACTTTATCCCATCTGACCCAGAGAAAACATTTAGTTTTTATCAGGATATATTATTTTTTACCCAGTCTATTCATATCAAACCCATATTTGATAGGAATGATCCAAGTAAAGTAATATATCATTCATTATATATTCTAAAATTCATCTCTCTCAAAGAATGAGGATCTTATCCTTTTTTGCTCAAAGATCTTGAAAGACATGAAAAGAAGTTTAATTATTATGATTACATAGAATCATGGAATAAACTTCTCCTCTATCAAGATGAGTCATTAACTCATTCCTGGTTCATTCAATTCGATAAGAATTTCAAAAGCCAGATTCCTGGCTGGTTTGCACAGTGGTGGCTTCTTCATGGCCCTATAACTGAAATTCTCCCCCTGGACCTACAAGATCAAGTCACATACTTTGCCTCTATTTATAAACCTAGTTATTATGACGGAACTCATTTTTCGAGTCTGTTAATTTTCTTCAGTAAATATAAAATTCCCTGGATTTACAAATGGTCTTGGGAAATTTGTTCTAACTTTGTTTGTAGGCAATCCAATGTAAAATGGTGGCCAAGGTTTCAGCATGATCGCATTATTGCCCAAGTTAAACAGGAGTTTCCAGTAAAGATCCCAGCACCAGTCACAGTATCAACTGTTGCTGTTATCCTTCCATCTTCAACTCCACCACCGACAAAGGCTATGCCAGCCCTTAGGATTTCTACTCCAGAACAGAAACAGTCCTCTTCTAAGGATTCTACTAAAGTCACAGGCTCCTCCAAGCAGCCTAAACCGAAGTCTTCTGAGCTCCTTGTCATGGCTAAGAAGCTTCTCCAACAAGCAGCCAGTAGTGGTTCGTCTTCACCAGCATCTTCCATAGGCTCAGTCAATTCATATGCCCATATGGATCCAGACGACCAAGACCCATATGCTGATTGTGATGACCTCACCCCTGACCTGGCCTCCTCATGATTCTTTTCCTTATGCGTGATAGCTTCAATCACTACTTTCTTCATCCCACAAGAAAGAAAAGTTATCTATTACGTATAATGTCAAGATATCAACTATTCTTTCGGTCCTTTCCACTAAGTAAAGCACCGACTGATCCCATCCTAATCTGCTTTTCCACCGAAAGTAGATTTTTTTTGTCCGGAGCAGGTACCCACTTAGCACTCTGCACCACACGAGAAGACATCAGGACCCACCTAGTGTCCTTTAGTCAAAATCACCAAGAGTTAAAGTAATTCACCCTAGCTTTTTCACCGAAAGTTGATGTGAATTGTCTTTACCCTTAGTAAAAGCAAAGGAAGAAATCATTGCAAGAGATTCCTTTAGTAATTTCTACGCCTATAAAATGGTTACTTCACTTCAGTTGAAGGCAGAGGTTTTTTGAAACCCACACTACACACCAGAGACACAATTTTCTCCTACCCTCACAAGTAAACCTGTATTCTGAGATCTCTCATAATGATGCAACTGAAGAGACTCTCACCTATTCTCTTTCACTACTAGCCCATTTAGTGCTAGTACTGTAAGTATTTATTTTCTGTAATTTGTATTTACATCTTGTTCAATTAAACAAGAATTTTTATAAAAACAAAATATTATTTTGTCATTTATATTTACATCTTGTGATTCTCTTTAAACTCACACGAATTCCGCATCTTGTTATATTTTGGTATCAATATATATATATGTGTGTGTGTGTGTGAATCTGTCGCATATATATACTCTACGATCAACAAATCAAAGAAGATAACAAGATAGCTCTAATCCTAACTCTTTACTTGGATTAGTCCTCCCAAATGTTTTATCACCTCAACAATGATGGAGGACTCTCTCTCTCTCTCTTTACCTTTCAAGACCAAAAGCTGTCAGATTACTTTCTCCTTCACTTTCCCTTGTTTTGGCTATATATGCTATGAATATGGGACAACTTCTACCAAATTAATTGACAAGTCATAGGCTATGATAATGTCCTATAGACATACGGTGAAGAGTCGTGGGCGACAATGACAGGGTAATTATGTTTCTTGCCTTTCTGACCAATGTCAGCTAAATAGTCATGGCAGACTGCTATGGCCGATAAATTTATTCTTTTTTTTTTTTGGTTTTTTTTTTGTAATTTATTCAATCTCGTTTAATTAATTTAACTTAAATTAATTTGATATCGATATTAAACATAATCAATAGTATACCGGTCAGACTTGTTTTCATGAGAGGAATTCAATAGTGAAGTTCATTTCTTCGTCCGAATTTTCTATTAAAAGTCAAAAAATTTTATAACTCAATTGATATAACTATGAATAATAAGTTTTCATAGAGTACATCTATTCCTCTTCATACTCCACAATGGTGGGAGGCACTGAGTACGGCCTTTGAATTGAGAAGATGAAGTCATACATTACTGTCTTTACCAAGTCATTTTCCTTGTAGGATGGAAAACCTAGACTTGAAAAGCTCAAGAAGCCAGATTAAAATTCTGGGGACCTTGGTTTCAATTTCGGGAGCATTGATTGTAACACTGTACAAGGGGCCTCCGATTGCCTCCTTGTCGACTCCATCCTTATCACTCTCCTCTAAAGTCTCTCTTCCATCACAACAACCATTTTCTTCCAACATGTTGACAACTGCAAATAATTGGGTTCTTGGCAATTGCTTCATTATCTGTTGCAACATGGAACATTTCTCAGGTACGAAACAAAGGTGTAAACGCCTGTTCTTCTTGTTGTTGGTGAGACATGAACTGATCAAATCTCATACTGAATTTGAAGGCAGAAATTCTTGAAGGGTACCCGTCGCAGATGACTATAGTTGCATTCTATTGTTTGTTTGGGACTATACAATGCACAGTAGTGTCTCTGATTGCAGAGAGAGACAACATGAATGCTTGGAAACTAAGGCCTGATATTGAGGTCATTTCAGTCATCTACTCTGTAAGTATATTACAAATTCAGGGTGCTTTTTGAATCAATGGGATCTATTGATAGTTTGATCATTCAAAAGAGAGTTATAGAGGAACTGAACTTGAGATATTTTCTTTGTAGCTAGGATAATCTGTTAAACAACTCATAAAAGTTTAACCTGTTAGAGAGGATATAACTTAAGAATTTATACTTCAACATGATCTATCAAGAATTCTAACCGTTTTACCAATTTGTATAGGCTGTTTTTGGAAGTGTGGTAACATATTCTGTCCAAACTTGGTGCATAAACAAGAAAGGCCCTGTTTTTGTGGCCATGTTTAAGCCCCTCGGCATAGCTATTGCTGCCTTAATGGGTATCATCTTCCTTGGCGATGCACTCCATGTCGGAAGGTAAGATAACTCTTTCTAAGTAGATGAGCACGTTTTTTTTCAAGCAATTGTTCGTCAGGGTTCAAATACCTTGTTTCGGAGCTTGCTTGGATGAATTTAATGAATAAACACAGTACAAGAAACTAATAAAAGATGATTTTTTATTAATTTAATCAAAATAACTTTAGTTACAGAAAATACTGAATAAATAACCTTGATAATTGCTTCCCAAAACTAATCTAAAACTATTATGAAACATGCCTAGGTTATGAGTCTTGTGAAGATTTGAATGCATCTTTTATCTTCTCTATTACATACCCTTAATAGCCACTGTTTTCAACAGTTTTTGACTGGTAACTCTTAGTTAGTTATTTTTCTTTTTAATGTGACTTGGACTGATCATCTTCCTTCTTTCTTCAAATTCTGCCGCATGACATCTTCTCAATACATTCAGATTGTCATATGTCAATACATTAAATATTTCTAGGATTTTATATTCTAAATCCAAATAATTACTGACTTGTGAAGGCATGTTTTATGTTTCATCATGAAAGTGGAAATCTTTCCATTACTGAAACTCACTATATATCCTCTTGGCCGAGTCTTGTACTTTTGTCCATGGAGAAAATTATGTCAAGACTGGCTCCAGAACATGACCATATCGAATTGTCCCAAGTTGTGTGTATTTAGGAGACAAAACTGTGGGATAACCTCGAATGCTACATACAACAAGTTTCGTTTAATGATCCACGTCTTCTGGTTCCAGCCCAGTTGAATAGTTATTGCCTTATCGAATGGCTGGTTTACTTGATCAAACTATTGATAACATGTAAACAATGTCCAGAAGCATTTGCAAGAGTGTAGTGATATTCGAACATTTTTTTTTCTTTTTTGCGGTGTAGTTGGAGCCACTGTAATTGTGATAGGGTTTTATGGAGTAATATGGGCACACTCTAAAGAAGGGAAGGTTGAAGCTCAGGGAGCAGATAGGCTGTCTTCTTCCCCACACAAGACAGCTCTCTTGCAAGACCATAGGGCTGCTTAAAACCAGTCTCATTGCATACAGTAAATGATTATGTTTACTGAACGTGTAACAAACGTTTTTGTACCTTGTTATCGCCTTTTAATTCTAATCAGTTGCGGATTGTCTCTCTTTTGTCTTAATTGGGCTCTCTTTTGTCTTAATTGAGTAAGACTACAATACCAAAAAGTTACTTTTCGATATCGTATCATCAGGTTAGAAAAGCAAGACCAAAGGATACAACAACGATCACGCCATACCAAGATAAGTTTCAGTACCAAAATTCAGTGGCCACCCGGGTTTTATGTATTTGTGAAAGGAAAAAAAATGAGCTAAAAGAACCTGAAGAAGAGATTAAATAGATAAATTAACAGCAATGCACATACAAAGGGGGTTCCAGTTGAAGCGGTTCAGAAATCCAACCTCCATTACGAGGAGAATTGAACAAGGGATGGTGCTTGGTCCGATGATATGTGTATGTCATGTACTGAACCAGTATGGCACCTTTCTCGATTGCCTGGGCATTCGCAGAGTGCAAGCTTTCTGACGGTTAAATATCTACAAAGGAAAAACTGCTCTGCACTTCTCTAGAAAAGATTCCTAGGACTGAAAGAGCTTGAAAACCACAGGGCAGATTTGTTTATGATGCAATTAGTGAAGAGATGGAGGCCGGAGACTATGAACACATCTAATCACTCACTTACCACCCATCCTTCGAGAGCACACCAGTTAGATGACAACTTCCAAGAATTAGCCACACCAATCTTCAAAGAACTGCAAAAATAACGAAAAAGGAAAAAGCTACCCTGGTTACAGAGCAGCACAAAGGAAACCAAAAACGTCTTAAAGCATATTAGAAAACACTTTGAGGGTAGTCAAATTTATTCCTGCCATGCAGAGAGGGAAAAAAATGATATAGAGATACTGAACATTCCATTACTTCAGCTTAAGAGTCATACTTTGACATGGGAGCAACAAAAAGAGAGACCCGCAAGCGTGTGTCTTGCATCATTTTCAGAAAGCTCATTCATTTTAAAAAGTGAACTCGTTTTGCAGTGTGATTCAAAAACTGCTTCTAAANTGCGGTGTAGTTGGAGCCACTGTAATTGTGATAGGGTTTTATGGAGTAATATGGGCACACTCTAAAGAAGGGAAGGTTGAAGCTCAGGGAGCAGATAGGCTGTCTTCTTCCCCACACAAGACAGCTCTCTTGCAAGACCATAGGGCTGCTTAAAACCAGTCTCATTGCATACAGTAAATGATTATGTTTACTGAACGTGTAACAAACGTTTTTGTACCTTGTTATCGCCTTTTAATTCTAATCAGTTGCGGATTGTCTCTCTTTTGTCTTAATTGGGCTCTCTTTTGTCTTAATTGAGTAAGACTACAATACCAAAAAGTTACTTTTCGATATCGTATCATCAGGTTAGAAAAGCAAGACCAAAGGATACAACAACGATCACGCCATACCAAGATAAGTTTCAGTACCAAAATTCAGTGGCCACCCGGGTTTTATGTATTTGTGAAAGGAAAAAAAATGAGCTAAAAGAACCTGAAGAAGAGATTAAATAGATAAATTAACAGCAATGCACATACAAAGGGGGTTCCAGTTGAAGCGGTTCAGAAATCCAACCTCCATTACGAGGAGAATTGAACAAGGGATGGTGCTTGGTCCGATGATATGTGTATGTCATGTACTGAACCAGTATGGCACCTTTCTCGATTGCCTGGGCATTCGCAGAGTGCAAGCTTTCTGACGGTTAAATATCTACAAAGGAAAAACTGCTCTGCACTTCTCTAGAAAAGATTCCTAGGACTGAAAGAGCTTGAAAACCACAGGGCAGATTTGTTTATGATGCAATTAGTGAAGAGATGGAGGCCGGAGACTATGAACACATCTAATCACTCACTTACCACCCATCCTTCGAGAGCACACCAGTTAGATGACAACTTCCAAGAATTAGCCACACCAATCTTCAAAGAACTGCAAAAATAACGAAAAAGGAAAAAGCTACCCTGGTTACAGAGCAGCACAAAGGAAACCAAAAACGTCTTAAAGCATATTAGAAAACACTTTGAGGGTAGTCAAATTTATTCCTGCCATGCAGAGAGGGAAAAAAATGATATAGAGATACTGAACATTCCATTACTTCAGCTTAAGAGTCATACTTTGACATGGGAGCAACAAAAAGAGAGACCCGCAAGCGTGTGTCTTGCATCATTTTCAGAAAGCTCATTCATTTTAAAAAGTGAACTCGTTTTGCAGTGTGATTCAAAAACTGCTTCTAAATGTATGGAAAAAACTTCCAATTCAAAAAATTAAAAAAAAAAAAAAAAAAAAAAACTTGCCACTTCCTCATTTACAATGGCCAATACAATAAAATACGAAACTGATAAAGAGCAAGCACTCTCAACATTTACCTGTTATTCTATTTTTAGGAGAAAATTATTGTTTTCAACTAGCATTTTTTAACCATAATCACAACATATTAGATGTGAATTGGAATAAAATAGGACTATTGCTTTCCCCTTCTAGTACAATCCCTCCGTCACAAACTAAGCGAAGGGTAGGTTTAGCATACTAAAGCAAACAGACCATCTACGCACACAATCCAAGGTGTTACCATATACTAGAAGTCTAGAATCACTATATACTTCTACCATAACAATCATAGGCTTTCTCTGAAGCATGGACATGGGAACGGAGCAGATGCAGACATTTTGACATGAAAATCCTCGAAAAGAAGGGCATAGCATGCAAACAACAAGGATGCCACAGTGAATCGATAAGGGAAGCCCAGTGATCAATGCTGCCACCACTTCATGTTTTTTTGCTTTTAAATTCAATCAAACATCCCAATAGTTTTTGCAAAGACCTTAGAGTTGATTGCTCGTAACAATTATATAGTCTATCCAAGTCATATTTCAAGCTAATTGGATCATATGTAGGCAATCATCCAAGAAGTGTGAAATGCGTCCAAGATTAGGACTTTATTTTTGAATAAATAAATTTCATAAATGTCCCTTAAACTTTGACCGTTGTTCTAAGATGCCGCATGAACTTTCATTTGTCCCAATTTACCCCTTGAACTATGTAATTGGTTACAATTAACACCTTCTATTAATTTTAGACATTAAACGCCCCAAATTCAATTAACTGAAGGTGCATCTCACATGATTGAATCAGTCATTTAATGTCTAAAATTAACGGAAGGTGTCAATTGTAACCAATTAAGTAGTTCAAGGGATAAATTGGGACAAACAAAAGTTCAGAGGGCATTTTAAACCATAGGTCATAGTTCAAGGGACATTTATGAAAGTTTCCCCTTCTGAATTATAGGCATAGCAAGCAGAAATAGGACATGTGTCCAAGAAATATCAGTGCCTGTGTCTGGCACCAATGCAGCTCTCTTAGAAGTTTCCAGAGTCCATGCTTCTTTGCAGAAGGCAACTCAACAATAGGACATAAGATTGGACAACAATGCAAGTACGACTTACCAAGCTTAACAGGTTGCCAGTTTTCAGTATTGTAGATCCCTACTGCCTTGAGGATTGCTTGTACCGAAAGTTCTCATTTTCCCACCCTCCATCAGGCTCCTTCCTCTTCAAAACACCACCAGCCACCTGGTATATCCTTGCCTGCTCCTCTGCAAATGCCTGTGAACTGGTAACAGAAAGTTGCCTTGATGCCAGAGGCAAAGTCTCATCCTTCCCTTCTATGTCCAGAACACCAGGGCCAGCATTGAGATCTAAACTCTGCCTACCCCATTTTCTATTGTTCTCCACACCACCACTACAGCTACCATCTGAAAGGCTAACCACATAAGGCCTTGTTGGACAGTTGGAATAAACTACACCAGCAGGTCCAAGAAACTGTGAATGAACGGGAGGAAAACCAAGCCTTAGAGATGATGAATCCATGCAAGTAGTTGATCCACCTGAAAAAGTGGTTGAGTTCAGAGGAAAACTTGTCCCAAAAGGGAAGACAGGGTACTGGAAGGGCACAGAGGGAAAGGGCACTGCAGGAGATGATGACAACACTGATCCCCGGTAGACATCAGGAGTAAAAAGGGTACCACCAGTAGAACACAATAATCTCTGTGGCGCACCAGGTGCAACGGTTGGAAAAGGATGCTCCCCTCTATCAGGCAGGACAGATGGAATTGTGACACCAGGATAGTTCCCAGATGAAAACCATGAGAAGTTCCCTAGATCTGGATTGTTCATTCTAAGGCTGGCAACAGGAGGCTGAAATTGCATGCTGCCCCTACCATGCTGATTAAATGATGATTGGTCAGCGCCCATATCATCCAGTACAGGCCCACTGTTTAAATCAAAGTCCCTCTTCACCTCAACACTAGGAAACCCACACGAAGATGATGATTTCACCTGTGGGAGCGGGGTCTCCACTCTATGACTGCTGCTTGTGGAATAATTCTCCATATCATTACCTTCATCAACTAGGTTCAAATCAAGATTAAGTCCCCCAGAGCTACGAACGGACAAAGAATCCATCAGTTCATTCCGTGACAAATTATGATTATTTGTTGGATTAGATGTTGAACCTTCTTCCGGAACAAAGTTCTGAGAGGCCATATCCTCAAGAACTCTCTCATCTGGCACATTGAGATCAATATCCAACAGAGGACGACCATGTTTACTAGCAGTAGCATCAGGAAGAGGACTAATATCCATACCCATTGGGATCTCCACAACTTTTCTGGGCTCAGCCGGGCGAAATGCACTGGTGGCAGCTGATCCCTTCCATCCAAGTTCCCCTTTACTTCTCAATAGATCTTCTAAAGGAACAAAGGGCCCTTTTGCGGCTGCAGCAACCATTATAGAAGCACAAAGGCTACCGGAGACTGAAGAAACAGGAAAAGGCAATGGATTAAGTAAATTAAGAGCAGACGAACATCGATTGCCTGTGAAATCAATTGGGCCCCCGTATTTTCCATCATCCGCAACCAAGCCTTCATTCAAATCAAACTTCAGTTTTGAATCCATATCTGGTGCCACTGTGACAGAAAAACAAGCCTCAGTTGTGGTGGGTGCACATTCCTCAGTTTCGTCTGCTTCAATGCCAGTCAACTTGGATCCCCTTGGTCCCACATGCTGCTTTGTTTCTTGGGCAGGTAATGCATGTGACCCTTTGAAAGGTACTGCTGCACCAGAGCGGTGATCCGCTTTACTTTCAACATTTGCCTCCATGCAATCACTCTTCTGATCAGTAACAGTTGGAACCAGACCAGCTTGATTTTCAATAGTGGGAGGCTTGTCGGTTTCCTCATCGATTCCCTGTCTTCCAGACTTGGTAACAGAATTCCTATCGTCCATTTCATCAGCTTTCTCAACCTTTGTTTGGTCAACATTTTCTGCCATCACATCTTTACCAGAATCAGGGCACACCACTTCCCCATCAGTTCTTTCTGTGCACTCAGAATTCATCGCCAGTGCAGGCGGCTTCTTCTCTACAGTGACACCATTCGACCCTTCATTCAAACCATTACTCTCACCCACTTCAACAGATTGCTGCTCCTCTTCTGTGGTTGAGAGGACATCGCTTACCTTATCCTCAGTTAACAAAGAACTGCTTCCCACCTGCTTAGTGTTTGGAATGCCAACAGCTGTTGTGATGATGACAACTGCCTTTTCCTCAGGTAAATGTGAGCTTATTTCACCATGCATTACAGACATGGAAGCAGCACCTTTTATTTCATTTGACTTTTCATTAGTCTCCAAGCATCTGTCAGCAGCAGTAGGTTGCAAATCACTACTAGAAGTCTTGAAGTGCTCATTGTGCTCTCCGGCTGGCATCTCTTCACAAGAGGAAGAAGTGGTTTTTCTGTCCTCTGATAAGTTGACTGAAGCAAGTTTAGATATATGTAGACCATCCTTAGACCACAAAGCACCCTGCTTCTCAGTATCACCATCACCAAGGTCACTACGCTGACATATACCCCGAGGAATGTTATCCCGAGATGATGATTTTGATTTGGCATCATCAACCATGCAAGTATCCTCAACAATTGGGGTGTTCCTCTGTGGAGAATCAGTTGGTGATAGCAAATCAGACTTGGACATTTCTTCAGCAGCAACACTTGCAAGCAGGTTCATTCCAACATCATCACCAAGAGACATGGATGCAGCTGCTTCAGAGTATTTAACACAACTTTCAATTAATGCATTTATAGAGCTGAAAGAAGTGTCGTGCAATTTTTTTGACTTGGGCTCACTCCCGGATGATGAGGAAGTGGCTTTTGAGACTTCAGCTAATTTCCTAGAGTCTTCAACGATCCTACTTCGCTCTTCATCAGGTATGGCAGCAGGGGATCCATCACCTTCATCTGATCCAGTAAGCACATCTTTCAGATCATTACTTNGAAAAGGCAATGGATTAAGTAAATTAAGAGCAGACGAACATCGATTGCCTGTGAAATCAATTGGGCCCCCGTATTTTCCATCATCCGCAACCAAGCCTTCATTCAAATCAAACTTCAGTTTTGAATCCATATCTGGTGCCACTGTGACAGAAAAACAAGCCTCAGTTGTGGTGGGTGCACATTCCTCAGTTTCGTCTGCTTCAATGCCAGTCAACTTGGATCCCCTTGGTCCCACATGCTGCTTTGTTTCTTGGGCAGGTAATGCATGTGACCCTTTGAAAGGTACTGCTGCACCAGAGCGGTGATCCGCTTTACTTTCAACATTTGCCTCCATGCAATCACTCTTCTGATCAGTAACAGTTGGAACCAGACCAGCTTGATTTTCAATAGTGGGAGGCTTGTCGGTTTCCTCATCGATTCCCTGTCTTCCAGACTTGGTAACAGAATTCCTATCGTCCATTTCATCAGCTTTCTCAACCTTTGTTTGGTCAACATTTTCTGCCATCACATCTTTACCAGAATCAGGGCACACCACTTCCCCATCAGTTCTTTCTGTGCACTCAGAATTCATCGCCAGTGCAGGCGGCTTCTTCTCTACAGTGACACCATTCGACCCTTCATTCAAACCATTACTCTCACCCACTTCAACAGATTGCTGCTCCTCTTCTGTGGTTGAGAGGACATCGCTTACCTTATCCTCAGTTAACAAAGAACTGCTTCCCACCTGCTTAGTGTTTGGAATGCCAACAGCTGTTGTGATGATGACAACTGCCTTTTCCTCAGGTAAATGTGAGCTTATTTCACCATGCATTACAGACATGGAAGCAGCACCTTTTATTTCATTTGACTTTTCATTAGTCTCCAAGCATCTGTCAGCAGCAGTAGGTTGCAAATCACTACTAGAAGTCTTGAAGTGCTCATTGTGCTCTCCGGCTGGCATCTCTTCACAAGAGGAAGAAGTGGTTTTTCTGTCCTCTGATAAGTTGACTGAAGCAAGTTTAGATATATGTAGACCATCCTTAGACCACAAAGCACCCTGCTTCTCAGTATCACCATCACCAAGGTCACTACGCTGACATATACCCCGAGGAATGTTATCCCGAGATGATGATTTTGATTTGGCATCATCAACCATGCAAGTATCCTCAACAATTGGGGTGTTCCTCTGTGGAGAATCAGTTGGTGATAGCAAATCAGACTTGGACATTTCTTCAGCAGCAACACTTGCAAGCAGGTTCATTCCAACATCATCACCAAGAGACATGGATGCAGCTGCTTCAGAGTATTTAACACAACTTTCAATTAATGCATTTATAGAGCTGAAAGAAGTGTCGTGCAATTTTTTTGACTTGGGCTCACTCCCGGATGATGAGGAAGTGGCTTTTGAGACTTCAGCTAATTTCCTAGAGTCTTCAACGATCCTACTTCGCTCTTCATCAGGTATGGCAGCAGGGGATCCATCACCTTCATCTGATCCAGTAAGCACATCTTTCAGATCATTACTTTGCCACGACTCAGTATTCACATCAGACATAACATTAGCTTGATATGCATCACTCTTATCCTTTAAACTATGATCAAATTGACCATGCTTCTCCACAAGCACAGGAGAAGAAGCTCTGCTATTCATGATGGAAGGATCTTCAAAGGATCCACTGGCACTTTCTGCAGGACTACGGCCCCGGTTCGGGATCTTTACAATCAAGTTGTGACTGTTACTATCCACAATGGGGATGTCAAGTGCCTTTTCACATGTTAGACCAGACTGTGATAATTGTTCAGAAGCCAAATTTCTGTGAAGTGAAGAACTTCTGCTCGACTCAGATTCTTTTTTACCTCCACATACAACTGACCCAGGGAAGCTATTAATTGATTTTCGATGTCGAGCACCACTAGAGATCTTATTGACACTCATTGACCCTGCAGTAGAGCTCCTTGCGTCCTCCTTTCCCGAGAAAGACTGGCAGTGGTTGTGAGACTGACCGGGGCTGCTGATCTTGTCCTCCCTTGCTGTTGTTAAAGCGATGTCAAATGCACTACAAGCTGAAATTCTAGGCTGACCATCCTTACCTGATGCAGGGGAAAGCACCGATTTAATTGGCCCCGGAGATGAGGATGCAGACTTTGCAGCAGTTTCAACCTGAACAGACTTAACTGGAGGAGTTTTAGATGCAGAAAGCTGTGCAACGGAGCTCTTCATAGTTACCTCGGAGGACCCACCAGAATCTCTGCTCCCACCATGAGAAACCTCAGGTAGACGTGATTTAGAAGGCCATGAAACAACCTGAGTGGAACCAGACTTTGCATCAATAATATTCATTTCAGCCTCAACCCGTTTCTTCCACATGTCAACTAATGTCCTTACCTTCTTCTGAATTTCCAAGTTTTTGTGTGTACGTAAATGATTCACAGATCTACCGATGTTGCACATTTGTAGGGCATGAAGATTCACAGGGAGCTTATCAAGTGCACGAAGTAAAACTAAGAGAAATTCCTCCACAGATTTATCACCATCTTTTGGGGCACCACTATCACCAACCTTCCCTTTATGGACATCTTGAAGCCATTCATCGAACACTGGCAAACCCTTGAGTTGCACAAAACGCACAAGGCAGTCAAACTTATCTGTGGCTGCTAACACACCAGCAAGCACTGAGCAGCTAACTAAATCCATCTTCCTTTCGCCTCTATTGAGTTGCATCAGTTGCACCAGTTTCTCAACTCCTTCAGAATCTACAAGCCCTCCTTTTTCAGTTATTTTGGCAATCTCTGACTTCATAGTACTTTCAGCTTTAAACAGACTGGAATCACCATCATCTGTTCTTGAGGAACGTTCACGTTTGACAGGCTCAGAGCCCTGATCTCCCTGCTCCCTTTTCTTTCCCTTAACCTGAGAAGGATAGGAAGTGACACCAGCTTGTACATTATCTGAACCAGGTTTCAACAGCGGGCCATTTATTGGTTTGGGAGAATGGGCACCAGGCTGCACTGTTGCATGCATTTCTCTTCGTGTTTTATATAATAGACGATCTACTTCTTCTTGCCACTCCTACAGAAAAAATAAGTTACGGGCAATCCATTAGAGAAATCAAATAGTGAAGTATATCAGATGAGCAGAAAGACAGAATATGAAACCACCCCTATTCCATTCAAAAAAGTAGTGTAATAGAGCAAAATGTGACTGACATGCAAAGGCAACTAAAACTCACATTAATATAGTCCTGATCAGTTAACCACCACAGACACTTGTTTTCAATGTCATAAACTTGCCAACACACAAGTGAGGATATCCCTGGAGACAGTTCGACACCCTTAGGAAGGAATGCAACTTTACATGGATGGAGTAATGATGCAGCAGGAATCTCATCCTTATGGAAGGAATAGAAGATTTCGTTTGGCGTGGCGTCCAACAGGATGCCTTTGCCAAGCTTCACTTCAGCTGGTCGATAAAGCCAATTAACCCCTAACTGTAGATTATTCTCTTTATTCAATCTAAACCAACGAATTAGTCCAATGAAAGGTGGAGAATCCTGGGGTGGTTTGAAAAGAGCACAGTCACCTATACTAATTTTGCGACCATCCTGCAAATATGGGAAAACTTCACTTCTCAATAAAACGGGAAAAATAGATAAAGATGCAAAAGGCAAAAACATGACCTTTACCAAGTAAACACAAAATTTGCAGGGGAAAATAAATGAAAGAAAAATTTTGTAATATGCAAAAGCCTATAGACATTATAATGGATTGAATTTTAGATTAACAAGTATCTAGAGATTATGAAGAATCCAACTAGCCTAATTTTCTTCCAAACCATTTTAACTTACAAGATTAACTCTTGAAATTTTTAGACTGCATTCTAGGATGAGTATAGCTTGGACATGGTCCATGCCTTAAGAACCTTAATTCATTCCTCAAATTGGAAGTGTTCAAGAATATACAGGTGCAAAATAATGTATCATCGAGAATTTGAGTACTTTTCCCGTGAGGTATATTAATTAATTGCATTCCAAAAAAAGTGCTCCTCCCAACATTTATGGCCACCCTTTGGATCCTTTTATTGAAAGTTACTAATAAATAGCTAACAGGAGTATATTTTATTTTATTTTTCTCAATTATAACTGCAAGGCAGACGTTACTGATTAAATTTTTTTCAGTGTGATTTAGAGGAAGGGTCCTACAATAAGGAGGGCTTCTCTATTATAACATGAGGGTGTACAACAGCATCAGAGAAGTCAGGACTCTACCTGTCTATTGGGTACCTTCCTTCATTACAGCTCAGAAGGGGTAAAAAAGCACATAGGCACTTCAGAACTGACACGCGGCAAGCTTTGGGCTCACACGCAAATAATTAGGTGAACTATAAATCTCAATCACTTTTATTCCAAATTAGGCAATCATCATATATTATGTTAACTTATACATGAATTTTTATGTATTCACGAACACATACAACAAACCAAAAGGAAAAGTATGGTATCGATGATGACAAAAATTTTGGAAGTAATGATTTTTGGTGTGTGCACAAAATCTGGTTGACGGTTTCAAATAAGGACAAAGAATAAGAGCAACAGGCAAAAACGTAGAAGCACTTGCACAGTAAAATATTCACAGATCAGAGAGATCGCTTAAACATCCTCACTATGGTGTCGCACATGCAGATAAAATTTTCTGAGATCCAAAAAACCCAAGAACAAAGAAAATGTAAACCTCTCTCACTCTCATACACACAAACACTCTCTCTCTAACTCAATGACTGCTTATCTTCTATCATGTTTCTGAAAAAATCATAGAAAATATAGAGAAGAATCCATTCTGGTTATTTCAATCCTCGACATCGAACATATTCCTAGATGTTCCCATTTCAATCCATGTCCATCACGGAAAAGAGGGAGGACTGATGGCATCATACGTAAATTACCTTTTGACACTTAAGATTACAGTTAATATGTATATGTGTATATATATTGCAAAACACTTATTTATTCATTCACCAATAGAATCAATGGCATCACAAGAAGTATTCCTAAACCTTCATGTAATGGTCTCAGCAGATGTGCACGTTTCAGTCCCTATGGTCTATACTTTTCTAATTTGTCTTTATCCTTGTAAGAAAAACACTAGGGCCTACTTCAATGGCTTCCTTGTCTAGATCACTTGACGTCTTTCCTTACACGACTGTTTGGATTATTATAATCACTATCAGATTTTCTACCAGAAACCTTACTTGTGGCTCAAAAGGTATAGCCAACATTATTTATACGCATCAATGAAAAATACAAGCATTACTTGAATTAACATTACAACATCCCTATGCTTGCCCTTCAATTAGATTCCTTGTAACATGCAAATGCGTTGCATCACAAATATGCGCTGTCGACCTAGGAACAAATGTATATTTGTGAATGACTCATAAAGAAGCTACTGTTCTATTTAAATTAAATGAAATTGTACGATGCATCGGAACTAGTCGACCAGTTGTTGAAGGTGTCAGANAAATAATGTATCATCGAGAATTTGAGTACTTTTCCCGTGAGGTATATTAATTAATTGCATTCCAAAAAAAGTGCTCCTCCCAACATTTATGGCCACCCTTTGGATCCTTTTATTGAAAGTTACTAATAAATAGCTAACAGGAGTATATTTTATTTTATTTTTCTCAATTATAACTGCAAGGCAGACGTTACTGATTAAATTTTTTTCAGTGTGATTTAGAGGAAGGGTCCTACAATAAGGAGGGCTTCTCTATTATAACATGAGGGTGTACAACAGCATCAGAGAAGTCAGGACTCTACCTGTCTATTGGGTACCTTCCTTCATTACAGCTCAGAAGGGGTAAAAAAGCACATAGGCACTTCAGAACTGACACGCGGCAAGCTTTGGGCTCACACGCAAATAATTAGGTGAACTATAAATCTCAATCACTTTTATTCCAAATTAGGCAATCATCATATATTATGTTAACTTATACATGAATTTTTATGTATTCACGAACACATACAACAAACCAAAAGGAAAAGTATGGTATCGATGATGACAAAAATTTTGGAAGTAATGATTTTTGGTGTGTGCACAAAATCTGGTTGACGGTTTCAAATAAGGACAAAGAATAAGAGCAACAGGCAAAAACGTAGAAGCACTTGCACAGTAAAATATTCACAGATCAGAGAGATCGCTTAAACATCCTCACTATGGTGTCGCACATGCAGATAAAATTTTCTGAGATCCAAAAAACCCAAGAACAAAGAAAATGTAAACCTCTCTCACTCTCATACACACAAACACTCTCTCTCTAACTCAATGACTGCTTATCTTCTATCATGTTTCTGAAAAAATCATAGAAAATATAGAGAAGAATCCATTCTGGTTATTTCAATCCTCGACATCGAACATATTCCTAGATGTTCCCATTTCAATCCATGTCCATCACGGAAAAGAGGGAGGACTGATGGCATCATACGTAAATTACCTTTTGACACTTAAGATTACAGTTAATATGTATATGTGTATATATATTGCAAAACACTTATTTATTCATTCACCAATAGAATCAATGGCATCACAAGAAGTATTCCTAAACCTTCATGTAATGGTCTCAGCAGATGTGCACGTTTCAGTCCCTATGGTCTATACTTTTCTAATTTGTCTTTATCCTTGTAAGAAAAACACTAGGGCCTACTTCAATGGCTTCCTTGTCTAGATCACTTGACGTCTTTCCTTACACGACTGTTTGGATTATTATAATCACTATCAGATTTTCTACCAGAAACCTTACTTGTGGCTCAAAAGGTATAGCCAACATTATTTATACGCATCAATGAAAAATACAAGCATTACTTGAATTAACATTACAACATCCCTATGCTTGCCCTTCAATTAGATTCCTTGTAACATGCAAATGCGTTGCATCACAAATATGCGCTGTCGACCTAGGAACAAATGTATATTTGTGAATGACTCATAAAGAAGCTACTGTTCTATTTAAATTAAATGAAATTGTACGATGCATCGGAACTAGTCGACCAGTTGTTGAAGGTGTCAGATGGCCTAACAACCTGTTATATAGGAGCTCCTTGTTAACTACTACTTTTTTTTTTTGGTGTCTGTTAAATGCTACCTAAGTTGAAATGCATTTGCACACTAAGGTTTCCAACTCAGGACAGAGATGAAAAGCCAAGGGATCAACTTTCACGTGCTCAAACATAACTTCGATTCTAAGATGTCTACAGACTGCAGCATTATCTGCAAGGTTTACCAGGAGCATGTGTTTGCCCCCTTCATATAGAGAGCCTAGTTAAAACTCAAGTTTTAAGAGCCGATGGTTGGCACCATATAAGCGAACATAGAAAAAGGTGAGAATAATGTATCTGTTCCAATGGGAATGAAATATACAAAAAAAAAAAGAGGAGAAAAAAAGGGGGGGGTGTAAAAGGCTCTTCATTGGATCACACCCTGATTTCTATTCCACTTACAATTGAATAAGGGAATGCCACTTGAAGCTTGTCCACCAAGGTATGGAGTCCACTGATTAAATTCCCAAAATTTCAATGTCTCATTAACTATTAAGTTTAGATGTACAAGAAAAAGTTATTATCAATATCATAAGACTCATATCCTAGCTTTCCACTACATACAACTTTGTACGACAAGGAGAGGAAGGTCAACTAGATAACCAAAAAAGCACATCAAGACTTGAATGCAATGCTCGTTTTCAGAAATGTATGCATAGACAATCACTTCAAATTGATAATATTCTATGACATCCAACACCAGATAAATATAATCAAACACAAAATTTGACTCTCTTTAGATACTTCAAACTGAGGTTTCATGCCTTCATACCATGTCTTGATCTTCTCGACCAGCCTGGCTTTTAACACTGCTACCATGCCCATAGTGATCCACCATAGTCATGTTCAACCTGTGGAAAACTTATTAAAGAGGACAGGCCCAAAAGTCAATGGCCCTTGGTCTTCAAAACTTAAAAGGTTGTGGACCTTGCCAAGTAATTCCAGCCACCCTATGTGATCAGAAGTTAAATGATCTCGGATTGTTTGATCATTTGAACATGCTACCTACTGACCATGTAAGTAACCGTCTTTCTTTTCTTGTTTCATCTGGGTAAAGTATTTATAACAATTCTAAATAAGCAAGCACAAAAAAAACCTCTACATCTGAAGCATACACTAAATGTCAAAGAGTGACAAAAAATCCTACGAAAGAAAAACCTCCCCTAACATCTTGAGAACAGCCCTGCAAATTAGAAAGTTTCATCTTAATAATTAAGAATTTTTTGTCCCTCAAAATTCTCTATTCTTTCCCTTCCAAATGAACCAAAAACTAACTTGTGCAATGTGTAAATGGACTCCATAACTCTTATTTTAAAATGGATCTCCACTGTTAACCCTTGCCATGAAACAAATTATAAGCCATCAGTGGTACATTACAATCCAACTGATCTCAGAAGTCAACATTAATGTTCACAGGCTGAATGCCACCTAGAAATGTCAATAGACAATAATCCACCAACTCTACCTCTTTGCCCATGTGTTAGTTGCAAGCATCCTGCAGTTATCCTTGCTCGCCTAATGTAGCAATTTGGACGCACACTAGGTAAATATAGGCAAACAGTGTAGTGCACACCAGTCCATGATAATCATGCCTGCATTTACGCCTCCAATGTAATATGCTAGGCATGAGAAGTGCATTCAATGACATGAGGAGATTTAGTTAGACTGATACTATTTAAAGTAACTTATTCAAGGCCGCCTTGAAAAACTAAGTTACTACCTAAGATTTTTGGGCACTTGAATTCAACGAAAATAAGTTGGATGTTCATTGACCGCCATTCATAAACACCATAACATGTCACACATGGCATGACAAACACTTGAGGGAAGAATAACAAGGGAGTGGGAGTTTACATAAACCCAACATGACTCATCGATCAATTTACTTCTTCTTTTAGTTAGTTAATTAGTTATGACGTCTTTAAATAAGTAACTACCAGAATTCACTTCCAATATAGCTCTTTCATTATAGTTCAGAACGAGATGGAAATTTTGTGTCACAAGGAACCAGAATCAAAGGACTAATTTCACTTTTCATGCATGTCCTACACACCACCACCACCCCTCTCTCCAAAACTAAAAAAAGAAATTCAATGAATCTAATCAAACAAATGGAGGGTTAAAGGTCATTCCCAATCACAGAAACAAAACCAGAATACATAATTACTTTGTCATTGTATGTTCAAGAATAAGCTAACATCACATAATCCTTAAAAAGAAATCTTTTTTCCCCCAAGTTACATAAATATTACTCCAAAAAGATCATACATTTACAGTAACGTACGTACAATCATGATTTATACATAAGAAATGAGGCCGAAACACTCATAAGAGCCACCAAGGCAATACCTTGCAGAATGAATTCTCGGTAAATGCTACAGAAAGATCACCGCTTACTGTCCTCTTCGTCGTAGAGACAGACCGCATGTGCCGACTAATAATCTGTTTCTCACTCTCATCAACTTCCCTCCCATGCATAATCGCCTTGCATCTTCCCCAAATTCACCATCAACCCCTACGACTACCATCAATCCCCAACCCAAACAACCACCAATTAAATCCTGAAATTTACCAATTCTTACTTCACCAAACCCTAGATCGTCCCCAAATTCGGTCCGCACCACCACAGTCACATCCACCACCCAAAAACCCTAGTTCCCACAATTCCAATCTCGACTATACGCTTCAATTCACCAAGTCGAATCCGAATCCCCGACCTGTACCAATCAAACTCAAGCTCGGAATTCTAGATCCAAAAACTCATAGAGACTCTACAAAGAGCAAACGAAATATAAGGGAGAGAAAGTGCGAAGCATATATGGAGAAAGCAGTGGTCGAAGAGAGAGAGAGATGATGATGATGATGATGTCGTGAGGGACTCGCCAGACGACAAAAGGGAAAGGTGTACTTTGGTACCAAGCTAGAGAAGCTGAAAAGGCAACAGCTGGGCAATTTGGGCAGTGCGGGCAGAGAAATGATACAGTCACGTGGGAGTGATTGAAACACGACAAGATGTACTAGAATCTAGAACTAGAAGGCGACCCGACTAGGATGGAGGAGTCTGGAGGAGTGGTGCGTGTGACTGTCTGGACCGATCTATTTTTAGATTTGACTTGTGATTTTCTAAGTTTGGGCCCACCTTTTTTGTATTAAATTGTGGTGTTGTCAGTGTTGATCGGGTCAACCCATGGGTGAAAATATCAGGGGGTCCATCTTTAAAATAATTTTGTGAAATAGCCAACCCCACCAATTTTTATTATCTTTACTCCAAATTCAAATTTTCTATTAAGTTAATCAAGCACCATTATTAAATTTTTCAGTAATCGTATGACATGCAAATTTTGTATATCGGCGGGATTATTTTTAATATATTTTTGGGTCATGCTAAAAAGAATAGTCCATATAAATTTGTCTATCAAATAGAGTGGCATGATGCCCTAAAATTTTAGAATAAGTCACGATCCTAGTGAAAAAGTATTTGTAATTACTTTCTTACAAAACATAATAAATTTTATATCCATCTCTGTTTCATGATGGAACTTCTAGTTATACGGTGGATGATTTCCACCAAAACAAAAAAACTAACATGAATATTATTTATCATTGGTCTTTTTGCCTAGTCCCTCCGGAGTTTAAATGGACTAATCTTTTACTAAAAAAAACACGAGAATTGTTGGCAAAATGTATCGATAATAAAAAAAGAAGTGTCGGAAGTAGATAAAACTTTTGTTAATCAAGATCCTCGAAAATAATTAATGTGATGCCCTTGAAAATATAGCAAAAGTATCTCAAAAGATCAAAATAGATTCTGAAATATTTGACAAGGATTATAAGATTGGACTATATTAAAGCTGCCAACATTGAAAATCTGATGAAAATGTCGGATCCTATATATTATCTATTAAAATGGACTGCAACATTACAAGCAGAGTAGAAGAAAAGGGTGTGAGATTTTGAAATCTTTTAAGTTATCTCATTTGAGTGTGACCCTTACTTATCATAAAGGAATTTTTGTTTATAAAATATCTGATATTCAAACTTTTGTACTTTTATGTGTTGTTTTGGGGGAAAAGACTTGAAAATATAAGCAATAGGCACAAAGCCATTTTAGAGCTCATATCACACTCATTGACTGCTTGGGAAAAGAAAAACAGCAGTAGCATGGTAGGTAAGAATGAAACTTTTCTATAAATAGGAATCTCTATGTTAGGTCTTGAATCTTATAAGGGTGCTTTGCAAAATATTATACAACTAACCATAACTTATGCCAGAAGACACAATGCCACATAAAATTCGAGGGTTCAAAAAAGCGATACCACTACATCAAATAACTAATGAAACCATCTATATATTTAAAAACAAATTGCAATTTGTCCATTCATAAAGTAAAGATAATGTCAAATAACTAGTATCTGCAGTATTGCCAAAAGATAACTGTAGCTGCATTGGATCCTCCCTCAGCACTAAAAGAACAGAAAAAAGGGCAAAACAAACAACACCACAGTCTACCAATAAACGCTAGTCGGTGTCCACAGGAACAAAGAAGCTGCATGTCATCATAAAGCATTTATCATTCTCTTCATCTCGGCAGACCTTCTTGGATCGGGGTCCTCAATTGCTCTCTCAGTAAGTACATGCTTGATTCGGCACATTGACTTCCTTACCTGAATATCATTTAACAACCACCACCCAACTATCATATAGATTTAAAGAAAAGATGAAACCCTGTTTGGTTAACATGACATAATGGTCTTGCTTTCTACACGGAAAATATCATGAATTTATCAATGTAAAACCAAAAACATCCAGCCAAAAGCAAGAATCATCTATCAATAGACAGGACTGGAAGAAAAATAGTTCCTAGGGATCATCCTGTGGTGAATGGACATTTAAGGAGTAACAGGAGTGGTAAATTGTACAAAAAGTTTACCAAAAAAACTGGTTTCTACCTTGGGGATACGCTCTGGATTAGGAAAACGAAGATTTTGAGCATGAAGCATTTGGCGTTGGGACATCAACATATTCTTTTCCTTCAACAGAACATACCATAACTTGTTAAGATCATCCCAAGACTTGAGCCGCAGTTCAGAAGCCTTCCAGCTCCGACCTGAATAAAAAATTAGTAAGCAATTTTACCCCAATATTTTTGCCAACTATATCCATTAAGCAAACACATAAACAGAACAATAGTCATTTTTAACGAAAGTTTATGTAACTTTGGTTTACAGTATAACCCTCCACCAGTCCAGAGTACTGTACATTGACACCTGACAACCCTAAGTTCTACCCAATCATTCCCAGATATAGATGCGTCACACAAATCACTCTCTCCTGATCCACGACAGTGACTGAAAGCAGTTTTTTAGGCGTTGTGCCAAACTCAGTTGAAATGAAAAAAGGACGGGAAGTAGAATTACATAGCCATTAGGTTTGATATTGCTTATTGCAATGTTGATTGATATTAGTTTATTATTTCCTGGTATCGTGATTTACACCTGATTTATATAATTTTCAGTTCTTTTCTCTAAGATTCAAAAACTCAAAACACTGCCCTCCTGTTTTCTCTGTTGAATCTCTTCATGACTTATAACATTACTTTCTTTTATCGGAAAGAATATCACACCATGGCATAACTATCATCGTGTTAGCCACCATTCTAAGCAAGTATTAAGCCATGTACAATTTGCAGTTCTTTTCTCTAAGATTCAAAAACTCAAAATACTCTCCTTCTGTTTTTCTCTGTTGAATCTCTCATGACTTATAACATTACTTTCTTTCATTGAAAAGAATATCATATCATGGCATAACTACCATTGTGTCATTCTAAGCAAGTATTAAGCCATGTATTTGTGATTATGTAAGATATAATTTCTCATTATTTTCGGCTTCTGCAATCGATAACATACTATAACCTTTTCCCACATTAAGTAAATACAGTTATTTGAGATGAATATACCTGTGATAAAAATTAAAAACATAAACAGTCCCCGTTAAGCAAAGATATGAGCACCACAAGTTAATGGAAGCAAATGCTTGTACCGTATACAACAGGTTTGTCCTCATCGGGACTCCTATCAGCCTCAAAGAACTGCTCAAGGGAGTTGTGTCCTGTCCTAGCCGTAGAAGTGGTAGCAGCTGCAGCAGAAGTTTCTGATTTGGCTGCAGCAAACAGTGTCCTCCCAAAAACTCTTGTCACAAACATGATAATAGTGAATGAATTGCTGCACAAATTGATAAAGCAAAACCAGCAAGTTAAGGGAATTATCGAAATTGAATTACCATATAATGCTATACAAGTTTCATATCCGAAAATATGAGTAACAGTTACCAAAATTAGATTATAGCACAAAAAATTTGTAGTGAGACGAATTTTTAGCACAATTCCACGAATGAAGCATTTCATCAAACAGTTAGCATACAGAAAAAAGTACCAATAGCTTATTAGACAGTGATCGAATGCAACCATAATAAAACCCAACCGGACTATTTTTTTCATCAATTCATCGTGAAGAAAGAACTAAAAAGAGTTTATAATGAGCTCAAACAATGGAAAACAAATGAAACCATAAAAACGCAGTAACGGCTGAACATTGGGCACAAAAAAGCTACCAAACAATCAAAAAACTAATAGCTGAACCCTCGGTACAAACTTAGCCGACGCAACAGACACCGGAGTGAGATCGAGAGAGAGAGCTGGTGGCGTATCGTCTTCGTCGATCAGTGGTGGCTTCTTCGGTCTATCGGGAGTCGCGCGAACCAAAAGGACGACAGAGGAAAGGGGCTTCGTTTCGGCTCTTTACTCACCAAGTTCAAACTTGAACTTGGGCTGGAATATTGGGCCATAATGTTGGACATGGGTTAGACATTGGAAAAATTGTGAGGGAGACGGCTTATTTAGTAAAACTAGCAATGCACGCAGGTGAAAAAAATTTAGTTGATTAATTTATTTTAAAATTTATTTAAAATACAAAGTTGATGAGTAATAAAATTAAATTATTTTTTGCAAAGGTAAGTAAATAATTACAATACCAAGAAAAAAGACACTTAATCTTTTAACCTCAAAATTTGATAAATTTCAGTCAATAAATGATTAAAATACTCAAAAACATGATACATAGTACATTAACATTTTTTCTATGGGTGTGATACCTAACTTTAAATATTTTTTAAAATATTTTTTTCTTATAGTTTGAATAACGAATTTTTGGAATAACGAATTTTTATTTATAATGCTATAATAGAATATGAGCAAAGAAAAATTAAATTTAATAAATTTGATTATAGAGTATTAAGATTTGGACAAGCTCTCAAAATAATATGAGCAATGAAAAATTAGATTCACGAGAGATTGTAATAAAACAAAAAAACACTAACATAAAAAATTTTAACGTAAACATAGAAATTAATAAACTAAAACATATGAATTAATAAATTAACCTCAATTATACTGAATACTCGACCTGCCATGTCAATTTAAACTAAAACATCAGAATTAATAAACTAACCTCAATTATTATGTTGAATACTTGACCTGCTACACTAATCTCTTAGAAAGTTGTTTGACATTAAATTAAAAAAAAATTAAGTGCCACAGAACATAAAAATTAATAAACTAAAATATATGAATTAATAAACTAACATTAATTATGCCGAATACTNACTATTTTTTTCATCAATTCATCGTGAAGAAAGAACTAAAAAGAGTTTATAATGAGCTCAAACAATGGAAAACAAATGAAACCATAAAAACGCAGTAACGGCTGAACATTGGGCACAAAAAAGCTACCAAACAATCAAAAAACTAATAGCTGAACCCTCGGTACAAACTTAGCCGACGCAACAGACACCGGAGTGAGATCGAGAGAGAGAGCTGGTGGCGTATCGTCTTCGTCGATCAGTGGTGGCTTCTTCGGTCTATCGGGAGTCGCGCGAACCAAAAGGACGACAGAGGAAAGGGGCTTCGTTTCGGCTCTTTACTCACCAAGTTCAAACTTGAACTTGGGCTGGAATATTGGGCCATAATGTTGGACATGGGTTAGACATTGGAAAAATTGTGAGGGAGACGGCTTATTTAGTAAAACTAGCAATGCACGCAGGTGAAAAAAATTTAGTTGATTAATTTATTTTAAAATTTATTTAAAATACAAAGTTGATGAGTAATAAAATTAAATTATTTTTTGCAAAGGTAAGTAAATAATTACAATACCAAGAAAAAAGACACTTAATCTTTTAACCTCAAAATTTGATAAATTTCAGTCAATAAATGATTAAAATACTCAAAAACATGATACATAGTACATTAACATTTTTTCTATGGGTGTGATACCTAACTTTAAATATTTTTTAAAATATTTTTTTCTTATAGTTTGAATAACGAATTTTTGGAATAACGAATTTTTATTTATAATGCTATAATAGAATATGAGCAAAGAAAAATTAAATTTAATAAATTTGATTATAGAGTATTAAGATTTGGACAAGCTCTCAAAATAATATGAGCAATGAAAAATTAGATTCACGAGAGATTGTAATAAAACAAAAAAACACTAACATAAAAAATTTTAACGTAAACATAGAAATTAATAAACTAAAACATATGAATTAATAAATTAACCTCAATTATACTGAATACTCGACCTGCCATGTCAATTTAAACTAAAACATCAGAATTAATAAACTAACCTCAATTATTATGTTGAATACTTGACCTGCTACACTAATCTCTTAGAAAGTTGTTTGACATTAAATTAAAAAAAAATTAAGTGCCACAGAACATAAAAATTAATAAACTAAAATATATGAATTAATAAACTAACATTAATTATGCCGAATACTCGACCTATCACACCAATTTAATAAACTAAAACATAAGAATTAATAAACTAACCTCAATTATTATGCCGAATATTTAACCTACCAATTTTTTAGAAAATTGTTTGACATTAAATTAAAAAAAAATTAAGTATCACAGAACATAGGAATTAATAAACTAAAACAGATGAATTGATAAACTAATCTCAATTATGTCGAAAAACTCCAACTTTGACTTCATTGAGTTTGTAACAGAAGAGCATGAGACCATAATACTTCAAATAAATAACTATGGCAGGCCAACTTCTAACTCTAACGTGAATGGAAGAAAAAAATATATGTATATGTATCACCTAAAATTACCAATATGTGGTATTAGAATTATAATAGAGTTTGTATAATTGAATAGAAAAGATAGAATGTATTACCATAGAGATAAAGTTTATCTATCAATTCATAGAAATAAAGTTTATCTAGTTAATATTTTGATAAAATTTATCTATCAAATCATAGAGATAAAGTTTATCTAACTAATATTTTTAAAGTCAAGTAAGAATGAAATAAAGAAAAATATGTGGGTATAAATGACTTTATAATAATAATTAAGGGTGAAATAGGAAATCAAAAGTTTTCCACACATGCTAACATTTATAAGTATTATAAATTGTCAACGGATCGGATTTGGATTATATTTTGATTGATCCAAATCTAATTTGATAATTCAACAGATTTTATTTTCATGATTTATATTCGAATCGGTTAATAATGTGATATCTGATCCAAATAATTTAATTAACTAAATTTTAATAAATTATACTTAAATTTTAACTAAAATTTTTTAAATAAGCAATTAATTTCTTTAATATTTATATAAAAATATATAAATACTTCAAATCGGATCATAATTAAATCGGATATAAATATATCTAAATTTGAATTTGTGATATAGAAGATATCAAATTTGAATTCGAACTATTTGAAAAAAAAAATTCATATCCAAATAATTGAATTTAAATTTAAATCATTCACTCCATTGACAAGTCTATTCTTTGGGACCTCTTTTACAAAATTAAGTACAAAAAATTTATACATTTGTGGAATAAAACCTACTAGGGATACAGCAATCAATGACAGTCATAATGAAAATCCAATAAAAGCTATGATACTACATTTCTTTTTAGCTAAAAGAATGGACTTGGGCTAATCACAGCAAACTTGACATCTGATTGAACTGGATCTAGACTTGCCCCAAACTTGGTGCAACCCAAGACACAGATGGGTTTGTGGTTATGGACCGAGATGATCATCTTGCCTGGCTACCCGATGTAGGTGTGGCCTGAGGTTGGGCCATTCTTTTGGGCCCCATCGCACAATGCATCATTTCCTTTTTGACCCATCAAAGAACCCCACATCAGGTCAGGGGCGACTCAATACAATTTGGGGCTTAAGCGAAAACTTTAAGCAGGGGTCTTTACAAACTTATTATAAATATATATGTTATTATGGCTATGCCATTTTTCAACGAAGAAAGAGAGTTTATGCTATTTTATGACTATGTTATTTTTCAATGCGTTATGAACTTAAAAATCAAATGAATGAGAGAGATTAAGAGAGTGTGAGAGAGATAACGATGTAGGTAGGATTTGTTTATGTAAATATATTTGTGTATGCCCTGATTATAGAAAATGATTGGATTGACAACAAATGAAGAGAGAAAATGTAATCTTTTAAGTGAGTGATGTCAGATGTAATCGTTGAGTTGGTGAAAAAGTATAAAACTTATTATAAAGACCAAAAATATAATTTGGGACTCCTAATTTTTTGAAGGCTCGAAAGAAGCATTTCACTTGTTTATAGTGTCAGTCAGCCCTACCCGACAAGACGCGATTTTAAAATAATCACTATTCATAAATACGCATAATAAGTGAGTTGGATTAATATTAGCCACTAATAAAACATTGAATATAAGTTGGATTAATATTAGCCACTAATAAAACATTGAATATATTTTTTCCTCATGGTTATTGACACAAAAATGACACCAACTACAAAGATAAGATAACAAAATAACAATATGTGAATGATACGATGCAATACGAATGAAGACCCCTAATCGGAATCGTAGACGATGCCCTCATGGTTTCTCGTTTGTTTTTATTCCTTTATATACAAAGTTTGAAAAGACTTTTCAATGAAACACTAACACGTGACTACGTGAGTGGTGGTGTCTCTTTTTTGGCATTCGAGGCCGGGGGAAAGGATCGGAGTTGAATCTGGATTTTTATAAAAGTTTTTCTGTTATGTTTATAGTGGCAAACATCGCTTTTTGATACACTTCTTTCTATAAAAATAAAAAAAAATTATGAATAGACATTACAAGATATACCCAAAATAAATTGAAAATTAAATTTAAAAATTAGATTCGATAATTATAATTATTAATTTTATTGTGGGTAATAGCATTTATTAGTACCCATTACCTATTCAATGATTGTAATTATTAAGTCTAATTTTTAATTTTAATTTTTAAATTTATATAGTATTACTCAAAAGTAAATATCTACCCGCATGCCATTTTGTGCTATAAAAGAGTAAACTAAACTTACCAGATTTTGCGGGTTCAAAATTCACCGGTCCCACTAATAGTTTTAAAAACAATAACCAAAAAAAAATATATACCAGGTTTATACCACTATGAAATATAAAGAAGATTAGTAATGTTATTCAGATCTAATCTATTGACTTAACAATGTGATTTTATTATAACCGTTGAATTAATATTAAATTTTAATGTTTAATAGGACTCACAATCAATCTAAAAGTTATAATGTATTGTGTTAACAAATTAAATCAATAAATTAAGTCCAAATAGTATTACTCAAAGAAGATTAGATGTACGTAATGTAAGTCAGTGAACTCATGGCTATGAAGCATGGATACGGATACGGATACAGGATACGGATACGATACGATACGGGAACGGGGATACGCAAAAAAAAAAAAAAAGATACGGGTACGGCTAGGATACGTCCATAAAAT